AGCATCATCTAGGAAATAAAATAAAATACAACATCTGTCTGGAATACAAATTCGACAGGGGAATATAAATAAATCTGATGGAGACTCTGCAGGCTACGGATCGTAACATGAAAATTCAGCTCACGGTAAGTCCTCGCAATAGTCGAGCCTCAGCGCCCACAAGACCACTAGACATATATGTACCTGCACAAAATGTGCAGCAAGTGTAGTATGAGTACGTAAATCAACGCGTACCCAGTAAGTATCCAGTCTAACCTCGAAGGAGTAGTGACAAGGGGTCGACTCCGACACTTACTATGGGCTAATAATAAAATACCGATGTTATTGTAGGCATATAAATTTTACTTGAATTAAGTCCATAAAATAATTTGGACTATATTTTAAATTCAAGATATATTGATCCAAATAAATATTATGGGCTAATATATAAATAAATTAATTATATAGGTCCAACATATATGAATTAAATAATTAAGTCTTAATTCATTGGACTAGCCCATTTAATTGGGCTAAAGTGATGAGTCCATTTTATTAAGCCCAAGATGTCATCTTCCTAGAGGCCCAATTTGGTGCCATGGTCAAATGACGTGGCACGCCAAGTCAAACGAAAGAGCCAATAGGATTGTGCCATGTATCAAAATGACAAGGCATGTCAAGCCAAATTAAAAGGCCAATGAGATCACGCCACGTGTGCAGGTGACATGTTCTGGCCAATCAAATGCGGCCATGTCACACTTCAATTTGATTGGTCGGAAAGAGTTTGTTCTTATCATAACTCCTCCCTTCCACCACTATAAATAGGGGTCTTCATAACCTAGAAAGATACCAGAAGTTATAACAAGAAGCAAGAAAGAGCTCGTGGATCAAACGTTGCAAATTCCTCCACAAGTTTCAAGCTTCAAGCGATCAAGTTCAAGCAATCAAGTTCAAGAACGAATGCTAAATCGAGTTCAAGTCTAAGCAATCAAGCTCAAGCTCAAGAACAAGATCATCGTTCGTGGCAACAACTACATATTCAAGATCAAGCTCAAAGGCCCTTGAATTTATTTATTATTGGAAAGAAGAATCATAGAATTCATAGAGATTGTAACACTCAAATATTCAAAATCAAATACTACGATTGTTGCGATATTTTTCAGTCTTGATTTTATTTTCTCGACGCAAATTTATTGTCTACAAATACTGGCACGCCCAGTGGGACAATCTCTACCTCTCACCTCAACTTTTCAATCACCAAAGTTAAAGAACATCGAAATAGCTTCAAAGAAAATCAACTCCAGTTCAACTTCCACCAAGGCTGCTAATTCCATGTTCTATGCTGATGTGGAAAACATACTCGAAGTTACCTTTGGAAGCTTTGGACCAGTTATGAGGAGCAAAGCAAGCTATTAGGACAACAAGCACCCCAAGTGCCGTCCACATCTACCCTTGTTTTCGGATCTTCATCCTCAAAAGGAGCAAGATCGACCACAAACGCACCCGAAGGAGGAAGCGATGTTGCTGAAAAGATCAAGAAAACTCTTGCTCTGCTTGACCTCTTCGGATCCAAGAACTCTGTTGTGAAGGAAGATAATGATGCTTCAAGTAGTGGATCCTCCCCACTTACACCACATAGCATGAGCCAATCAAGGATCAATCTATGTGACAATCCATGCTACTCTCCATCGTCCACAACAATCATGCAAACATGGTGACAAACACTTCATCTGTGGATGAGCAGTTGGCAAACTTGACGGAAGCAATCGTTGGCTTGATCAAATGCATGCAAAATCAAGATGCTAGAATTGACAAGCTAACAGACAGGGTGAGAATCTTGATGGAAGAAGAATCCACCATGCACCTGGCAAACTCCTAGAAGTTCGAGAGATTGATCCTCCCCCATGACAAGTTGCATCCACTGAGGAAATTCCAGTCTCTTCGGAAGGGATGATTCCAATAAATCAACTAAAGGAGTTCATTGAAGGGACTAATAAAAACAATTATGAAGTCGCTTCCAAGTCCTCTTTTACCTACGCAAAGCCGTACACTTCAAGGATCGATATGTTGAAGATGCCCGCTGGCTATCAACCTCCAAAATTTCAACAGTTTAATGGCAAAGGCAATCCAAAGCAACATGTGGCGAACTTCGTTGAGACATGAAACAATGCTGGGACTTATGGAGATTACCTCGTCAAGTAGTTTGTCCGCTCATTAAAAGGAAATGCTTTTGATTGGTACACGGACCTCGAGGCTGGATCTGTTGATAGCTGGGATCAACTAGAGCAAGAATTCCTCAAGCGCTTTTATAGCACGAGACGTACTGTGAATATGATGGAACTTACAAATACTCGTCGACAAAAGGGTAAACCAGTTATCGACTTTATCAATCGTTGGAGGAATGCAAGCCTCAACTGCAAAGATAAGCTCTGTGAAGCTTCGGGCATAGAGATGTGCATCCAAGGCCTGCATTGGGGACTACGCTACATCTTGCAAAGTATCAAGCCTGGCACATTTGAAGAACTTGCGACTCGTGCCCATGACATGGAGTTTAGCATGGCCTCCGCTGGAAACGAAAGGTTGCCTATCTATGAACCTCGCAAAGGAAACAACAAGCAAGAAGTCAGGGAATGGATCAAGTTTGTACCCAAATCTAAAAACAAAGAAGCTATGAATGTCAACACATCACCTGTGAAGTTCACAACGAAGGTGAGCAAGAAGCAGAGTACGAAATCCACTTATTTTCAAGATAAGCCAAGTGGAAATTTGACTCTAAAAGAAATGCAAGAGAAGGAGTACCCATTTCTAGATTCTGATGTGCCAACCATTTTTGAAGAACTCCTCTAGTTAAATCTTATTAAGCTTCCGGAGATGAAGCGACAAAATGAAACTAGGAAAATGAATGACCCAAATTACTGCAAATATCACCGACTTGTAAGCCACCCTCTGGAGAAGTGCTTTGTCTTCAAGGACAAAGTTATGGACTTGGCCCGTGAAAAGAAGATCGTGCTTGAAGATGATAAAGCAAGAGCAAACCAAGTCTCTATCACCTTCGGCTCATTCCGTCTAGATGAGTTATGCAGTTTAAAAGAAATCAAAGATGAATAATTACTGGAGAATAACAAAGTCGAAGTAGACCACCATGATGATGATGAAGGTTGGACATTGGTGAGTTGCCGTAGGCGCCACAAAAGGAGCCCACGAAAAGAATCAATAGAACAACCAACAAGGAGAATGGTGGTAAAAATACCAAGCAGATGGAATCCAGTTAAGTATTTGAAGAAAGCAAAGGTGGAGGTGCACCATCCTCAAAAGCCACGACATCTAGTGACCTTGGAGGAGTTCTTACCAAGTTGGTTCCGCATGAAGATTTCCCATGAGGGCATTGATGCCTCTTGTTTCCATACTGACAAAGGGGAAGAAAAGAGTGATGACCTACTGTTGGCACCATCTTCGGAAAAGCTCATCGAGTCCACTCCTCAAGAAGTTAATGCTTGTGAGGAAAAAGTCACGTTCACAAATGACGATCTTCTGCTAGGTGACACTCTTCATAATCTCCCATTGTACCTGGTTGGCAATATGCGTGATGAAAGGGTAAATCGAATTTTGGTTGATGGAGGATCCTCAGTGAATATTTTGCCTTCGCACTGTGAAAAAACTTGGTATTCCCATGAACGAACTCTCAGAAAGTCGTGTGATGATCCAAGGATTCAACCAAGGGGGCAAAGAGCCATAGGCGCGATCAGGCTGGAAATCACCATTGAAGATATGCAATCAAGTGCATGGCTACATGTGATCGATGCAAAGACTTCATACAATATCTTGCTTGGAAGGGCTTGGATACATGAGAATAAAGTAGTTCCATCTACTTACCATCAACGTTTAAAATACTACAAGGGTGAAGTCGAGAAGAAGATAGTTGCTGATGATGATCCATTCACCGAGGCTGAGTCACACTTCGCTGATGCAAAGTTCTACTTGAAGAACCGCATTGTGAAGGAGCTAAAAGCTGATGATAGCATGAAAATCAAGAATAACGAGCCCACAACTAAAAGAGAAGAGGTGACTACTGGTGAAGCCAAAGCTGTTACTGAGGAGGTACAACCCAACACGAATAAATCTTATAGAGGGAATATTGCATCTTATGGCAAGAAAGTAAGTCCTGTGCTCCGATATGTCCCTAAAAGGAAGAAAGATGAAGGTGAATCATCTAATCTCCAAACTAACATGCTAAAAAAGTTAACTCTTTCGGTAAAATGAATTTAGGCAGTAAAGTTGTCTTCAAAGCCACTTGTAGGGTTTGTGGCCCAAAATCGTCTGCAGAATGTGGCATTCCCTACAAAGCGAACAGATGAAGGTTTTGATCCTAATGCTTACGGGCTATTTCCAAAAGCCGGATACAATCGTAATGAGCCATCAAAGTTAGGGAAGCTACCATCAAAAACTGTGACGAGACAACCACGCGAAGGTTTGGGATACAAGCAACCGTCACCAGTGCGCATCTCCATAAGAAGGGCGAGCAACAATTATATCACTGTAGAAGATGAATCGGCCGCATCTAACAAGCCTTCTATCTTTGATCGACTTGGAAAATCAACTGTGAGGACTTCCGTATTTGAGAGACTGGGTCCATTAAAGAAGGCGAACAAGGTCCAGAGAAATTTTCAAAGCATAAGAACACCCGCTTCGCCCAAAATCCAGAAGATCTCTAAGGATTTCCAAAGTTTGGTTCCTTCTAGAATGAGGCGACAAACAAAACTTGTGGTTTCATGTTAAGAAGTAATGAAGGTAAAGCCATATACTGTCATCTACACTAAGGAACGTGACCAAGATGTGGAAGATGCTCCACCTGACTTGAAGAAGGAGTGAAGACGACAATTGATGCCTTAATAGAAGTTAACCTTGGCACCGATGAAGAACCAAGACCCACCTACCTAAGTTCTTTACTAGAAGTTGATGAAGAAAGCACTTATATTGAGTTATTCAAGGAGTTCAGGGATGTCTTTGCTTGGAGCTACAAAGAGATGCCCGGCTTGGACCCGAAAGTAGCTGTCCATCACCTTGCCGTCAAGAATGGTGCTCGTCCTGTTAAACAAGCCCAAAGGCGCTTTAGGCCGGACTTGGTTCCCTTGATTGAAACCGAAGTTAACAAACTCATCGAAGCTGTCTTTATTTGTGAAGTTAAATACCCAACATGGGTTTCAAGTATTGTCCCTGTAAGGAAGAAAAATGGCCAGATTCGAGTGTGCGTTGACTCCAGGGATCTCAAAAATGCGTGCCCGAATGATGAATTCTCCCGTCCTATTCTAGAGCTGATGATCGATGCTACTATTGGGTACGAGACAATGTCATTTGTGAACGGTTCATCGGGCTATAACCAAATTTGCACGACGCCAAAAGATGAAGAGCTTACTGCACCCAAGGGCATTTATTGCTACAAGGTAATGCCTTTTGGCTTGAAGAATGCTGGTGCTACTTACCAAAGGCTATGCAGAATATTTTTGATGATTTTCTCCACAAGAATGTCGAGTGCTATGTTGACGACTTAGTGGTAAAATTAAGAGAGAAGAGCGACCACTTGAAAGACTTGAGAATGGTGTTCGAGTTGCTCCGGAGGTACCAACATAGGATGATTCCATTGAAATGTGCCTTTGGAGTTACTTCTGGAAAGTTCCTTGGTTTCATTGTCCGGCATAGAGGAATCGAAATTGATCAAGCCAAAGTGGATGCCATTTTGAAAATGCCAGAGCCTCAGGATATTCACGAATTGAAAAGTCTGCTAGGAACGTTAGTGTACCTTAGGAGATTCATCTCAAAACCTAGCTGAGAGGTGCCAACCATTCAGTCGCCTTATGAAGAAAGGTGTCCCTTTCAAATGGGACCAAGCGTGTAGCAATACCTTTGAGAGCATTAAATCCTACTTGATGAAGCCTCTAGTTTTGGCAGCCCCTATACTTGGAAAGTTGCTGATACTATACATTTCAGCACAAAAAAGGTCTGTTGGAGCGCTGTTGGCCCAAGAAAATAGTGAAGGAAAAGAAAACTCCCTTTACTACTTGAGCAAGATGATGACACCAAATGAGCTCAATTATTCGCCAATTGAAAACTTATGTTTGGCACTAGTCTTCTCAATCCAAAAGTTGAAGCACTACTTTTAAGCTCATGTCGTTCTTTTGGTTTCTAGAGCAAAATCCCATCAGGTTCGTGATGTCAAAACCCGTCCTTAGTGATCGATTAGCAAGGTGATACCTCTAGTTTCAACAATTTGAAATCGTGTAGATCCCTCAAAAGGCTATAAAAGGACGAGCGTTAGCGGACTTCTTGGCAGATCACCATATACCCGATGATTGGGAGCTAACTGACGAACTACTTGATGAGGACACAATGGTCATTGAAGTTCAGCCTCCATAGAAGATGTACTTTGATGGTGCTGCACATCGCGGAGTAGCTGGTGCTGGTGTAGTATTTGTCACTTCTCAAGGTGAAGTTCTGCCCTACTCTTTTACGTTGACAAAACTCTGCTCTAACAACGTTGCTGAGTATCAAGCACTAATACTTGGGCTTGAAATGGTTGTCGAAATGAAGCGGTTACAATTGCAAGTCTTTGGTGACTCTCAGTTAGTGGTCAATCAGCTTCTAGGTAGTTACGAAGTCAAGAAACCTGAACTACACCCATATCATGATTACGCTAAAAAATTAATAGGGTGGCTCGGTAATGTGACTATTCAGCATGTGCCAAGGAAAGAAAATAAGAAGGCTGATGCTTTAGCTGCCCTAGCTTCATCGTTAACCCTGCCTGATCAAGCGCAAGTTACTGTCTGCCAAAAATAGGTAGTACCACCACCAAATGAGGCTGAAGGTGAAGAAAATGAACTCAAGCATCTTGTCGCTGTTTCTGAAGTTGAGAAAGAAGAATGGCGACAACCCATTATCGACTACTTATGATATGGGATACTTCCAGAAAATCCGAGGAGAAGGACTGAAATCCGTCGTCGTTCACCTCTCTTCCTTTACTACAAAGATACTCTATACAGAAGGTCATTCGAGGGAGTACTCTTGCAGTGCTTAGGGGAAGAAGAAGCACTCCAAGCTTTGCAAGAGGCACATTCTGGGGTATGTGGGTCACACCAATCTGGACCAAAGCTCCACTTCCATATAGAACATATGGGATATTATTGGCCAACGATGGTAACAGATTGCTTGGACTATGCTCGAAGATGCAAGGCTTGTCAATTCCATGCAAATTTTATTCATCAACCTCCTGAAGTGTTGCACCCGACTGTCGCATCCTGGCCATTTGACGCTTGGAGATTGGATATTGTTGTACCACTGCCAAAGTCCTCTGATGGGCACCTATACATCTTGGCTGCAACTGACTACTTCTCAAAATGGGCTGAAGCTGTTGCTCTTAAGGAGGTAAAGAAGGAAAATGTTGCAAGTGTCATCCGAGTAAACATAATCTTTCACTTTGGAATTCCTCATTACATAATAACCTATATTGGCAAGCCATTTGAAAATAGGTTAATGAACAAGATTTATGAATTCTTTGGCTTCAAGCAAAGTAACTCTTCTATGTACAATGCTGCCGCCAATGGTCTAGCCGAGGCATTCAACAAGACTCTACGCAACCTGTTAAAGAAAGTCGTCTCCAAATCTAGACGGGATTGGCATGACCGTATGGAGGAAGCTCTGTGGGCATATAGGACAACTCACCGCACGCCAACACAAGCGACCCCTTATGCACTCGTTTATGGAGTTGAAGCCGTCTTGCCACTCGAGCGTCAAATACCTTCATTACGATTAGCTATTCAAGAGGCATCACTGATGTAGAAAATGTTCGACTTCAATTAGCAGAGTTGGAGGCTCTTGATGAGAAAAGGTTGGAAGCTCAATAGAGTCTTTTATGTTATCAAGCTCGACTGTCTCGTGCCTTCAATAAAAGAGCTCGCCCGAGATCCTTTCAAGTAGGAGATCAAGTCCTTGCCATACGAAGACCCATCATTACTTCCCATAAACCTGTAGGGAAGTTCACTTCAAAATGGGATGGTCTATATGTCGTACAAGAAGCTTACTCAAGTGGGGCTTACAAGCTAGTAGATGCAGATGTCATTAGAATCGGCCCTATCAATGGCAAATTCTTAAAGAAGTATTATCCTTGAAGTTGCAACGCTCCTTGACGCATGAGCCTAAACTACATGTTCCTACACTCCTGGCCCACATGAGTCTAAACTGTGTACGGCCCACAAAAAAAGAGTCCGCTTGGTTGAAAACCTCGAAAGAGGCGGCCTAGACAAAAGTTAGGACATTTAAAAAAAATAAAAATAAAAATAATAAAAAAATCACCTGTTCTGAACTACGGTATGACTTGATCCTCTTCACCGAGGTACGTAGGCAGCTTAGAGTTTCATTCTGAGTTCAGTCGCATGAGTTCAAAAGATACATAGTGCCCCAATCATTGTTCGAATGAAGTACGATGGAATGTAATCCATTCAATCAGCACTTGAAAATCGAGCTGAGATACTATTCGTCTGTTAAGCTTTGTATCCCATTTGATTTAAAGGGGGCATGCTGCTATGGTAAAATGGTGTCTTCACTAAAATGATGACAATATTTGTATTGAAGTCCGGGGATTCGCTATGCCTTCATGTTCGCCAAACCTTCAAGTTTTTTTGGTGAAGCCTTCACGACGTTTCAAATTCAGTGAGACTTGAACCCAAGATATTTGATGAGAATGAAGCTCTTGAATTTCAATTTGGCAATTAAAAAAAAGGTCTTGCGATCTCGAGGCTTCCACATCAAGATACAAAAAGTTTTGGTGAAGTCGCGCTAATTTGGGATTGTCGACATATCAGAAACCAAAGTCGATTTCGAGATATCATCTGAAACTATCCTTAAGGCATTAAATTTTACATTTTGGATAAATTTTAGATTTTGAAGTTTAGTTTCCATGAAATTAAGCGGTTCGTGATTTCAACATCCCCACCTCAAGATACAAAAATTTGGGTGAAGTCGTGCCAATCTGAAACCGTCAGTGTGTCAGAATTTAATATTAATTTTGAACTATTATCTGAAACTATTCTTAAGGTATTAAATCTTGCATTTTGGATGTTATAGATTTGTAAGTCAAGTTTCCATGAAATTAAACGATTCATGATTTCGACGTTTCTATACCAAGATAGAACTTTTTTTGGTGAAACTGTGCAAATCTGAAACTATCAACGTGTCGGAATTTAAAGTTAGATTCAAAATAATATCTAGGACGATTCTCAAAGTGTTTGATTTCAAATTTTGGATATGTATCATATCTTGAAGTCTAGTTTCCATGAAGTCAAATGGTTCATAATTTCGACGTTTCTACACCAAGATACAATTTTTTTGGTGAAACTGTGCAAATATGAAACTATCAGACGTGTCGAAATTTAAAGTTAGATTAAAAATAATATCTGAGACAATTCTCAAAGTGTTTGATTTCAAATTTTGGATATGTATTGGATCTTGAAGTCTAGTTTCTAAGAAATCAAACGGTTCATAATTTCGACGTTTCTACACCAAGATACATTTTTTTGGTGAAACTGGGCAAATCTGAAACTATCAACATGTCAGAATTTAGAGTTAGCTTCAAAATAATATCCGGGACGATTCTCAAAGCTTTTGATTCCAAATTTTGGATATGTCTTAGATATTTAAGTCTAGTTTTCATGAAATCAAACGGTTCATAATTTTGACTTTTCTACACCAAGATATGATTTTTTTTATGAGACTGTGTAGATCTGAAATTTTCTATGTGGTGGAATCTATAGTTGGTTTCAAAATATTATCTGGGTCGATTCTGAAGGTGTTTGATTCTAAGTTTTGGATATGTTTTAGATATTGAAGTCTACTTTTTGAGAAATCAAACGGTTTGTTATTTGGACTCTCCCACAACAAGATATGAATCTTTCGTTACAAGCGCGTAAATCTAAAAATTATGCGACTAAGATAAATGTCTGGCAATGTAAAGAAAAAGAGAAGCAATGTTATTTAAGATGAAATAAATATCCACTAGGTCAATCTAACATAAATATAAAAGGGGAGATAATGCTAATAGCCTAATCTAAACAAAACTTGTAGTTGATCAATTCTTGACAGCTAGTCTCCAGGTTCTTCTTCTCCTCCTCCAAATTGGTCGAATCATCAACAGTCAGCAAATTTACGTTGTCATATTAAGAGACCTCAGTCTCGGCAGCTGAAATTTTTTCCTGAATCTCTTCAACCTCCTTTTGAGTCGCTTCTATAACACCTTCGAGGTTCTCCCTCTCTTGTTGTAATGTCTGCAACTTCTTCACAACTCTCTTCAGTTTCTTTTCACTAGAGGAAACTTTCTTGACTTTCTCACTTGCTTCAAGTTTGAACGATTCGAGACGCTCTTTAGCTTTGAAATCAGCTCTAGCTTCTCATCTTCACTCGTCTTATCAGTCATATTGGATCGCTCTTGGTCATATGACGCGGCAAGCTCATAAGATAATCCAGTAAACCTTCTAAAGGAGAAAGATCCAAAATATTCATCTTCTTCATATCCTCGAAAATCTCAATGATTTCCTCCCTATAAGATGAGAGCAATTCTGCACGAGTTTTGGAGAGTCTACTGCAAATATCCTCCCAAAGTCCCAAGATGTCACGACCCAACCCACGCTCTGATCGTGATGGAGCCTCTCGTGAAGACAAGGCCAGCTAGACCATTACCGAACACCTCATTTAAGCAGTCTAAATATGATTTAATGATATTGATTAGCGGAAGTACAACCCAACACAGCCCTAATCGGGGTGTCACAAGTCACGAGCATCTATTGGAGTGTAAATACAACTACAAGGTCTATAATATACAAAACAAGAAAAATGAACAAAAGAGAGAAAAAGCGGTGCTGCAAACGCTGGCAGTCACCTCGCTAAACTCCTATAACTCTGCCTCCGATCTGCCAAAACCCGCTACCGGGCGAATAAATACCTGCACCTGCACACGAGGTGCAGGAGTAATGTGAGTACTCCAACCCAGTAAGTAATAAGAGTAAATAAAGACTGAGCAGTAGGAAACAATGAATCCACATTCACGTTAGGCTCAATAAACACAACAGGCTTTCAAATCACAATACGAGTCAACCTTCCTTATCTTAAAATCCAACTTTTAGTAAAAATTATTTTTGAAATACTTTCCAGCAGTTTCAGTAGGGGTTTAACACCTATTAAAGTAATAATAGAGATTAAAGCCATAATCGGCCCCTCGGGCAAAGCATAGTTCGTAAAACAGCCCCTCGGGCAAAACAGTAATCATAAACACTTCATAACTTGAAAACCTCGGTGGAAATAACCAAATGCCAAATCAGTGATTAATTTCTGAACATCTCATAAACCCCAGTTTAAATAAAAGTTATTTTAAAACATTTGCTCAATTTTCCGACAGAGGCTCATATAAAGATGAGTGAAAACAGTCAATAAATCAACATATTCGATAGAAACTCGCTTTAAAGAGGACTGAAATCAATAAGTTCATAAACAGGCCTCTCAGGCAAACATCACCCATATGCATGTATATATATCTATCGCCCCTCGGGCTAGCCTCTCTGTCACTCGTGACTCAACTCTTACCAATCAGTACTCGTGCTCAACATTCACGCTCAATAGGTACCATATAGTAACCGCTGCGGCGTGCAGCCCGATCCATATAACGCTGCGGCGTGCAGCCCGATCCATATACTTCGTCGACGACGCTCACTGGGGGTGTGCAGACTCCGGGAGGGGCCCCTTACGGCCTAAGCGCAATATTACTGCGGCGTGCAGCCCAACCCATATAAGTATTGTTGTGGCATGCAGCCCGAGCCGTATCCATATATATATATATATTGCTGCGGCGTGCAGCCNTATATATATATTGCTGCGGCGTGCAACCCGATCCATAGATATATAATCCTCACATCTAGGCCCTCGGCCTCTCTCAGTCATTAACCTCACTATCAGACTCTCAGTATATCTCAGTCATCAATCTCACAATCAGACCCTCGGTCTATCTTAATAAAGCAGGGAACTCAGCCCAAAACAGTTTCCATATTTTAAGAATATAGTGATAAAGCCAGATTTGAGTAATAAACAGGTAACACATGACTGAAGACATGCTTTCGAACAATTAGAGTGAGGATAGATAGTAAAAATTCCCCTAAGGGTCTCAACAAGTCGGCACAAGGCCCAAACATGGCATACAACCCAAAATATAATAACATCAAACAATTAACTATCAAATACGCATTAAAGTACTCGTTCGGGAAGGACTAGGTCACAATCCCCAGCGGTGCTCTACCCCACGCTCGTCATCTAGCGTGTTAGTCACCTCAAAGTAACACAACAATGTGTAATCCGGGGTTTCAAACCCTCAGGATAGTATTTACAATCATTACTTATCTCGAACCGGCGAAATCTCAAGCTCGCGACGCCTTTGCCCCTCAAATCGGCCTCCATGCGCGTCGAATCTATCCAAAATCAGAACGAATACGTCACAATATGCTAAGGGAACAAAACCCAAGCGAAAACAATCAATAACGGGCACAAATCCCGAAATTATCAAAACCCGAGCCCCGGGCCCACTTCTCGAAACTAAGAAATTTTCACATCAATAGATTCCTTATCTCCTTACGAGTTCATACATACCAAAAGTTCTCAAATCCGTCCTCAAATGGTCCTTCAAATCCCCAAATCAAATTTCAAAATCTCAAGCCCTAGTTCTTCAATTTTAGGCTTAATTTCCATGAATTTCTAGGTGGATTTCACAATATAATCGAGTCTTAAGACCAAGATTCTTACCTCATGTTGATTCCTCTTGAAAACCTCCTTCTTTTCCTTCAAAAGTCTCCAAAAACGAGCTGCCATGGGTGAAAATAGACCCACATTCGCGAACAAGATGATTTTAAAAACATTCTGTCCAGGGGTATTTTCTTCTATGCGATCGCGGAACATTCCTTGCGATCGCGAAGAACAAATCTTCAGCTCCAAAAATTAACTCTATGCGAATGCACCAAACCCAACGCGATCGCAATGCACTGCCCAAATAATTCTATGCGATCGCAGATAACCTTCCGCGTTCGCGATGAACAAAATCCAACTAAGACCCAGGTCAACTTTACTCTGTGCAATCGCGATGCCTCAACTGCGTTCGCGAACAATAATTTCCCCAAACTATGCGATCGCAAGCTATACTATGCGAACGCAATGAACAACAGAACAGCCCCCGCAAATCCTCCTATGCGATTGCAAAACCTCTTATGCGATCGCAGAGAACAAAAATCCTGCAACTCTGAACCTGCTAATTTTCTGCTATCTTTTAAGGCACAAAGTGGTCCGATTGACCACCCGAAACTCACCCGAGGCCCTCGGGACCTCAACGAAACACGCCAACATATCCAATAACATTATTCAAACCTGTTCCAATCATCAAAACACCTCAAACAATATCAAATTATCCAAAACTCATCGAATTCAAGCCTAAGTTTCCAAAAACTTCTGAAATACACTTTCAATCAAAAACCCGACCAAACCACATCCGAATGACCTGAAATTTTACACGCACATCCCAAATGACATAATGAAGCTGCTGCAACTCTCGGAATTCCATTCCGACCCTCGGATCAAAATTTCACCTACCAACCAGAAATCGCCAAAATATCAACTTCGCCAATTCAAGCCTAATTCTACTCCAGACCTCCAAAACCAATTCCGATCACACTCCTAAGTCATAAATCACCTCCCGAAGCTAACCGAACCATAAAAATTCCGATCCGAGCTCATATGCTAATAAGTCAAATCCTTGGTCAAACCTTTCAAATTCAAAGCTTTCAACGGAGATTGTTCCTTCAAATTTATTCCGATCTTCCTAAAAACCAAAACCAACGATCTACATCAGTCATAATACATAATATGGGGCAAGTCATGCCCGAGAACTGGCGATCAAAGTGCAAAAGCTCAAAACGACCGGTCGGGTCGTTATATCCTCCCCCACTTAAACACACGTTCGTCCTCGAACGTACCCAGAGTCGTTCTACAAGCCAACCAATCGCTGAATAACCTTACCATGCATATACCCGGGGGTGATCCCACGTCACCCTATCTCATATAGGTCTGATAACACAATATAACTGAAATTTCACAATCCATCCTTGTCCATAAACCATATAACCACATTTCTGCTTCTAGAATCCGCAATGCTTTCAAAATCTCACATTTATACTGTGAATAAGTCCCAAACAAGCTGAAATTGAGTTCGTTCGTATTCATAATGATCCCAACGATCTCCTCTAGTCCAACACACCACTTTGGCGACACGACACATCAATAGAGGCCTAAGCCACAACTAGCATAATAGGCGCACCAATAAGCAACGATCTGAACATGCTCAAATCATGGAAATGACTCAAATGAAAGAGCTGTAACTCAAGCTCACCAGTACCACCACAACACAAGGCTGAGAGCCCGTCTCACATCATAGAGTAGAACACAGAATCTAACCCGCGAGATCATATCTCCACATAGCTACGCTGCAATGCGCGGTCCTATCCAAACACTGCTCCACATGGGAAACCTCAAGTCACTATGCTCGAAATTGACAACCACGCGCAATCTGATGTCTGGAACCAAAGAAAATCATTACGCCCGCGGTGAAACAAATGACATACATCATGCAAACCCGATAGAACATATCCGACACGCCATTCACCGAGCAATTACCAATCACTCTTCCCGCTCAACTTCCATTATGAAATTCCGATAGAACCGCACCATAAGTGCCTATAACCAACAGATCGTAACGTCTCACAACACTGAAAGGTAACTCATAGATCCCCCTCACAGATAATAGCTCAAAACAACCGAATCAATACATCCTTCGCCAACAGCAACTCGAAGTCAACAAAACCATCTCGATGTCGGACACATATCCACATAGGTCTACCAATAGACCACACATCAACTCTAGTTACCCACAATAGATAAATAATCCTTCGAAGGTTCACAATGACTGAGTCATAGCACATACTAACATCTGACTAACTTACCCACATTTGCCATCCACAACCACGAGGTAACCTGCGTATGAGAACTTGCAGTCTCCAAGTCCATAAGGCACACGAATTACCATATCTGATCCCAATTCCGCCACTCGCATACACATCTCACCTTTAGACTCAATATTTCCATGAGATATACTTTACGATTCTTCTGTGCTAGCCAAGCAAACTCGAAATNNCTCACCTCAAACCGGCCAAAGCTCTAGCTCGCTATGCCCCTTGCCTCTCAAATTGGCCTCCTGTGCGTCGAATATGACCAAAACCAGAACGAATACGTCACAATATTCTAAGGGAACAAGCCCAAGCGAAAACAATCGAAAAATATCAAAAATCTCGAAATTAGCAAAACCAGAGCCCCGGGCCCACTTCTCGAAACTCAGAAATTTTTATACATCATTAGATTCCTTGTCTCCCCACGAGTTCATACATATCAAAAACACAAGAATCGGAGTTCAATTGACCCCTCAAATCCCCAATTTTGACTCTCTTAATCTCAAGCCCTAAACCTCCATTTTTAGTCCATAAATTCCTTAATTTTCAGTCCTAATTCATGAAATATCACCATAGAATTATGTTTTTAGGTCCAAAACCCTTGCCTTATCGAAGTTCCCTTGAAATCTCCCTTAAAAATCGCCCAAAAGCTCCAAGTCCGAAGATAAAAATGAATAAACCCTTCAAAAATCGCGAAGAAGAACCATTTATACCTTCTGCCCAGTCGTAACCGCATCTGCGGTCAAATTACCCGCTTATGCGGTACCGCTTCTGCGGTCATTTCTCCGCATCTGCGAAATTCACTTAAATCCCGCCTAACCGCATCCGCGATCAAATTGCCGCATTTGTGGATGCGCAGGTGCGGCCCTTCTTCCGCATCTGCGGTTCCAAGCCTTCCTCAGCCTTTCCTCTTCTGCGGTCCAAGTCACGCAACTGCGAAGCAGCAGAAAAATCTGAAATTGCACAAGTCCAAAACTCTTCCCGTTAGCCATCCGAAACCACTCCGAGGCCCCCGGGACCTCAACCAGAAGCACCAACACATCCTAAAACCTCATTCAAACTTGTTCCAATCATCAAAACACCTCAAACAACACCAAATCTATCAATTCACCTCGGATTCAAGCCTAAGTTTTCTAAAACTTCCGAAACACGCTTTTGATAAAAAACCCAACCAAACCACATCCAAATGACCTAAAATTTTGCACACACATCCCAAATCACACAACGAAGCTACAGCAACTCTCGGAATCCCATTCCGACCCTCGGATCAAAATCTCACCTATCAACCGGAATTCGCCGAAATACTTAATTTGCCAATTCAAGCCTAATTCTACACCGGGCCTCCAAAACCACTTCCGATCGCACTCCTAAGTCACAAATTACCACCCGAAGCTAACCGGACCATCGTAACTCACATCCGAGCCCTCTAACACATAAGTCAACATCCAGTTGACTTTTCCAACTTAAGCCTTCTTAAAAGAGACTAAGTGTCTCATTTCCTTACCAATTCCACTCCAACCTCAAACCAATCAACTCGACCACATAAAACACAGATAACGAAGCATAAAGAAGCAGAAATGGGGGAAACGGAGCGGTAACTCATGAGATGACTGGTCGGGTCGTTTCAAGTTTGGACCGGATCGAGGTAAGTAATGATTGTAAATGCTGTCCTGAGGGTTTGAAACCCCGGTTTACACATCGTTGTGTTACTTTGAGGTGACGCACACGCTAGATGACGAGCGTGGAGTTGTGCACCATTGGGATTTGTGACTTGGTCCGTCCTGTATGACTGTTAAGTTGCGTATTTGATTTGAAATCTTATGATATTCCATATTCTAGAGATTGATATTATATTTTGGGTTGTATGCCATGTTTAGGGCCTTGTGCTGACCTGCTGAGACCCTTAGGGGCATTTTCACTATTTTCCTCACTCGATTTGTTTTGAAAGCATATCCTCAGTCATGTTTCACCTGTTTATTGTTTAAATCTGGTTTTATCACTTAATTGCTTGAAAACGTGAAAACTGTTTGGGCTGAGTTCCCTAAATTACTGATGGTCCGAGTGATCATGAGGTTGATGACTAAGATATATCCAGGGTCTGATCGTGAGGTTAACGACTGAGAGAGTGTCACAACCCAACCCACACTCCGGTCGTGATGGCGCCTCTCGTGAAGACAAGGCCAGCCAGACCATTACCGAACACCTCATTTAAGCAGCTAAGCAGTTCATAAGCACTCTAAATATGATTTAATGATATTGATTAGCGGAAGTACAACCCAACACAACCCTAATCGGGGGGTCACAAGTCATGAGCATCTATTAGAGTATAAATACAACTACAAGGTCTAAAATGTACAAAACAGGAATAATGAACAAAAGAGAGAAAAAGCGGTGCTGCGAACGCTGGCAGTCACCTCGGTAAACTCCTATAACTCTGCCTCCGATCTGCCAAAACCCGCTACCGGCGAATAAATACTTGCATCTGCACACGAGGTGCAGGGAGTAATGTGAGTACTCCAACCCAGTAAGTAATAAGAGTAAATAAAGACTGAGCAGTAGGAAACAATGAATCCACATTCACGTTAGGCTCAATAAACACAACAGGCTTTCAAATCACAATACGAGTCAACCTTCCTTATTTTAAAATACAACTTTTAGTAAAAATCATTTTTGAAATACTTTCCTGCAGTTTCAGTAGGGGTTTAACACCATTTAAAGTAATAATAGAGATTAAAGCCATAATCGGCCCCTCGGGCAAAGCATATTTCGTAAAACAGCCCCTCAGGCAAAACAGTAATCATAAACACTTCATAACTTGAAAACCTCGGTGGAAATAACCAAATTCCAAATCAGTGATTAATTTCTGAACACCTCATAAACCCCAGTTTAAATAAAAGTTGTTTTAAAACATTTGCTCAATTTTCCGACAGAGGCTCATATAAAGATGAGTGAAAACAGTCAATAAATCAACATATTCGATAGAAACTCGCTTTAAAGAGGACTGAAATCAATAAGTTCATAAACAGGCCTCTCAGGCAAACATCACTCATATGCATGTATAAATATATCTATCGCCCCTCGGGCTAGCCTCTCTGTCACTCGTGACTCAGCTCTTACCAATCAGTACTCGTACTCAACATTCACGCTCAATAGGTACCATATAGTAACCGCTGCGGCGTGCATCCCGATCCATATATCGCTACAGCGTGTAGCCCGATCCATATACTTCGTCGACGGTGCTCACTGGGGGTGTGCAGACCCCGGGAGGGGCCCCTTATGGCCCAAGCGCAATATTGATGCGGCGTGCAGCCCGACCCATATAAGTATTGCTGCGGCGTGCAGCCCGATCCGTATCCATATATATATATATATATTGCTACGGCGTGCAGCCAGATCCATAGATATATAATCCTCACAACTAGGCTCTCGGCCTCTCTCAGTCATTAACCTCACCATCAGACTCTCAGTATATCTCAGTCATCAATCTTACAATCAGACCCTCGGTCTATCTCAATAAAACAGGGAACTCAGCCCAAAACAGTTTCCACATTTTAAGAATATAGTGATAAAGCCAGATTTGAGTAATAAACAGGTAACACATTACTGAAGACATGCTTTCAAACAATTAGAGTGAGGATAGATAGTAAAAATGCCCCTAAGGGTCTCAACAAGTCGGCACAAGGCCCCAAACATGGCATACATCCCAAAATATAATAACATCAAACAATTAACTATCAAATACGCATTAAAGTACTTGTTCGGGAAGGACTAGGTCGTTATCCCCAGTGGTGCTCTACCCCACGCTCGTCATCTAGTGTGTAAGTCACCTCAAAGTAACACAACAATGTGTAATCCGGGGTTTCAAACCCTCAGGACAGTATTTACAATCATTACTTACCTCGAACCGGCGAAATCTCAAGCTCGCGACACCTTTGCCCCTCACACTCCTAAGTCATAAATCACCTCCCGAAGCTAACCGAACCATAAAAATTCTGATCCGAGCTCATATTCTAATAAGTCAGATCCTTGGTCAAACCTTTCAAATTCAAAGCTTTCAACGGAGATTGTTCCTTCAAATTCATTCCGATCTTCCTAAAAGAGAAAACCAACGATCTACATCAGTCATAATACATAATACGGGGCAAGTCATGCCCGAGAACTGGCGATCAAAGTGCAAAAGCTCAAAATGACCGGTTGGGTCGTTACACAAGATGAATTCCTTTTTGCGATTAAAGACAATGCTCTTTCCTTCAAAAAAAGATACCGCTGTATTTGTCATTGGTGGAACGCGAGGAGTTGTCTATTTAGGGATTTGTCACGAGGAAGAGATGATGCCTTTGAAGATGACTTCACTTTAGACGTAGGCCCTCCAATAGATTCATAAATCACCTGCGGCTTGTCATTTGGGGATACCACCGGATGCCCATTGGAATTTAACTGCATAAAGAAAAGGAAAAGAAAGTGGGTAATTTTTTTTAGTGAAGCTATTCGTTCGACTACAAAAAGAAAAGAAAAGAAAGGGCAAGGTGATTGTATTTTTACCTCCTTGTTACAAGCCGTATGCGTTCTTGAGAGACTATCAACACTTGGAACCTCTACGATCTCTACTGGGTTAGGTCGTTTCCTTTTCCAATTTTGATCTCCATTGGTACTCTGGCTTGTATCTTGAGGAATTTGCGTGCTAAATGGAAGAACCAGAGGGCGTTTCTCTATATCTATTGAAGTGCACACCACCTCTTTCAAAGCTGCCTTTGAGGATTTAAGCTTCCTTTTTTTATGTTGTGTAACCACTTTTGGGATAGGAGTGGGTGGTTCTTTGACTTTTGAGAGCGTCTTTCCAACACTTTGATCGTCACCTCCTAAAGGAGTAGTAGATTTTAGCCCAAAATTGTCTACCAGAGCTTGTAAATTATTCTCGAGAAACTTCCCATGCGTTTTCTCCCACCAAGACATATAATTGGTGGAGAAAGGCTTCTCCACAGGATCTCCCGTTGGGGGAAAAACTGCACGTGACATAGACCGATACAATATGCAAATCCTCCAAAATCTGAGTCCTTCATCTAGAGAGGCGCTACGGATATCATTCTCCAAAAATCCTGGGACATTCTGGTAAAACCCAAATTGACGACTAAACCGATGCGGGCTATATGGATTGATGATGAATGAGTTATCATACCTCACAGGGAGGTAATTAAAACGTAAGCTCATGAAGTAATTTGACTCCAACTCTTGAGGGGCATCGTTATCCACATAATAATAAAGACGAGAATTGGTTAACATTGTTGGCGTCCAAACTATGTCCTCCCCATTGTGGATGCGTTTTCTTGCATCTTTCTCGTCAAAGTACCTTGCAGCTCCCTCTCCTGAGTATGCCACCATCAAAGGGACAGACGGACCCTTAGCAAGTGGATAATGGATTTTGAAGTAATGTGCAAGCCAGCCATAAACATAATGGATGGGAAAATAAACTTTGACCTGATCAAGTTGGGAAGAACACGAAATCTTATTCAAACCATGATAAATACTCGCCAAAACTGAGACCGCAAGGCTAATCTTTCGCCCGCTTGCCATCATGCTTGCCATCTTAAAAGTCTCGGGACGAATTAAGTTTTCTGACTTGGGAAACACAAAGGCACATAGCCAAATCGATAGGAATGCTGCTATATATGTTTCATCTTTCTTGTCAGACCTCACCCTAAGCTTGGAAAATGTAGCTTCTTGATCACTCGACCACCTAGTTGTCTCGGGAATAACTCCATTAGGATTATGTGTCGACTTTAGGCGTGCGGACTTCTTTTCCTTTCGCAGTGGGGCAGGTTTATAAATTAAAGTTTTTTATACCAAAAATTTGTCCACTTACTCAAGGAGACCTTTTGGTTAACACCCGTACCTTCCTACAGGTGATGGAAGGCATCAAATAAATACTCGCAAGATCGAAGAATAAATCTAATCTATTTTTCGTCCAAACCGATGAGTTCTCTTGTCTCAGGTACCACTTCTTCGTATGGAGAACCCACAATGGGCAGACCTCCAAGGAGATGTAGGTCCCAAAGAGAGATAGATAGTTCCCCGACTGATGTAAGAAGCGTGTTCGTCTTGGGGCACCAAGCCTCACAAAATGCTTGCAAAATATTCGAGTTCCGATCATAAGCAAAAAGTGAGGCATAGACATCATCGTAAATCTTTGTTGTACTCAGGGTTTGTTGGCTTCCACCAAGTACATCTTCAGCCCATTCCCAATATCCTGGAATATGACGATACTCGCCCTCGATTGTTGTTATGTTTCCCCAACGTACTTCGCCTTGAATTATGTGACGTCCTAAGTTTGGAAGGGTGATAGCAATGTTTACGTGGCGATGGATTGGTGCTTGGAGATACCACATCTTGGACAATGGATTAGAAGTTGCTTTGTGCTCCAAGGTCCAATTTTCTACATGAAGGGAGTTTCTCAAAGAAGGCCATGAGGCTTCATACCGGCCAACTTGTGAGGTGTGAACCAAAAGCTTGGTTTGTTCTATGCCTCTTCAGTCTCGATTATGAGATATCTAAGTTTGGAGGAAGGTGAGGTATAGTCTCTGAAAATGGCCATCTCTTCGGGCTGCAAAAAAAAAAAAAAAAAGAAGAAAAAGAAAAAGAAAAAGAAAAAGAAAAAAAGGTCATCAAAGTCCAAATCAAGAATATTAGAATAGGCACAAAGGTCTAAATGGATGAAATGACCTCCGATAGTTGGGTCACATTGAGAGTAATCTCTTCGGTAGTCGGGCCACATTGAGAGTAATCTCTTCGGTAGTCGGGCCACATCGAGAGTAATCTCTCCGGTAGTCGAGCCAGATTGAGAGTAATCTCTCCAATAGTCGGGCCATGAGAGTAATCTCTCCGATATTGGGGCAGGGCTGAGTACCCATCCCCTCACACTCTATGATGGTCTTCTTCATGCATGGATCATTTCGTTAAACAAGAACACATCCTTCTTGTTTGACCTACAAAAAAAAAAAATAACAAAAGAAGAAAAGCACAAGAAAAGAAGAAGAAATTACCTTCGCGTCAATACTTCCAAGTCGTCAAAAGTAGACTCAAAGTGGTTTGCAAACACTAAAAGTGGTGCTAATTGAATGAAGAGTATACCGTATTTATAGATGTCAAAAGGCGATGGTTGAAAGAGAAGTGCCGATGTGGGATCAGTTATGAGGCGGTAGAAATTGCAATACGAGCTGAAATCGAATTGCAATTCGAGTTGAAATCCGTTTGAGCCAAGCCGATTCATTTACAAACTCAACCCCTTAAAGCAAACGTACAGTTGAAGTCCATTCAGACTATAAAGCAGCTGTTTATTGTTTCACTCTTAGCTATGGTCATTTCCTCCAATAAAACATTAGTACATATTTATGGTGCATCTATTTCAAATATTTGGTCTGTCATCTTAAGTAATTAATTTCACGCTCTTATAAAAATGTACGCAGTTATATTAACTTTTGATATACTCAGAAGAGCCTGTAACAATAAGCTAAGTTATATGTATTCAATCTGTTGGCTGATTTAGATACATGCTGCAATTCTGAGTTGCAATCTTCCACCGAGGGTTTAACTACATGATTGGGCTTCAAGACGTCATTTAACTACATGAGATGTGGAATTTAAGACGGGCATAAATGTTGTTTTAAACATTTCAAGTGAACAATCAGATGATTAAAGGGATCTGCTATCCCACAAGTACTTGGAATTTAAAGACTACGGTACGATGGAAAATAAATGATGTCGTACCGATACTTCAAGCCTTGTCTCGTGTTCAACAAATTTACATTTTGACAAATCTTGAAGTAGGGGGCATTTGTAGGCATATAAACTTAATTTAAATCTATAGAATAATTTGGACTATATTTTAAATTCAAGATATATTGATCCAAATAAATATTATGGGCTAATATATAAATAAATTAATTATATAGGTCCAATATATATGGATTAAATAAATAAGTCTTAATCCATTGGACTAGCACATTTTTTTTTGATAATTAAACTTTTATTACCACGTAAATATGTACAAGTATAACAGACACTAAGTTTGGACATGCAGCCCAAACTCAGTACATTTCATCCTCCCTAACTACATTTCTAAGGGTAAAAGTTTAGCTTTTGCAGCTCTTTCCTTAAACTAATCTGTCTATGACCTATACAGTATATTTATTGTATTATCTGCCTGGTAATGTCTTCACTGCATCTCTTTTCTTGCTGAAATACTCGTCGATTCCTTTCCATCCATAGCTGATATACTGCACATGTAATACTCATCCTGTATATCATGATTTTTGAACCTTTGCCTTTCATATGTTCTGTTGCCTATTTGAGTTCCTCATCCCAGCCTTTTATCCTTCGTACAAACCCCATCCATGATAACAGTTTCCCCCAGATTTCTGCTGAAAATGTGCATGCAAAGAAAAGGTGTTGATGGCTTTCCAGCTCTTGATCACATAATGAACAATTTTGATTAACTTGTATATCCCACCTGTTCAATCTGTCTTTGGTGTATAGTTTCCCCTACACTGCAAGATACAATATGAATCTCCATCTTGGGCAGCCTTTGTTGTTGCATAATAATCTGCTCTAGTCCTCTCTTGGAAAATCTCCTCTCAGTTGATTGTACAATCTCCTGATAGAGAATGTTTTGTCATTAACTCCTTCCCAATATCCAACCCAGCTTCAGTTATATATTTGCCAGCTTGCAGTATCTTCCTAACAATCCATGAAGCTTGCTTCACATCCACTTGCCATGGAATCTTTCCTTTTATATAGTAGACATGCACCCACCTTATCCACAGTTTATCCTTCTTCTTACAAATATTCCATAAGTGTTTTAATAGTGCTGCTCTATTCCATGTACCAAGATCAGTGATATTTAGTCCACCTTTAGATTTTGGCCTGCACCTTTTACCCCAAGCCACCAATGCTTTTTTACTTGCATTAGTGTCACCAGTCCAAAGAAATCTCCTGCAAATGCCTTCAACCAATTGGATAATTTTCTTTGGCAATGGAAAGATCTGCGACCAGAAAGCTTGAATGGCTATTAACACACTTTTTATCAACTATAGCCTCCCTGCATAACTTAGGAATTTCACTATCCATTGCTTAATTCTCCCCAACATTTTATCTAGTAGAGGTTGACATTGGCTTACTGACAGTCTCTTTGAACTCAATGGAACTCCTAATTATCTAAAGGAACTTCACCAATGGTAAAACCAGTAACCTGAATAATTCCTGCTGCACTGCTATGGAACTCGAAGACAGTAACAAATCATCTGCAAAACTGAGCTAGGCAATACTCAATTTTTCACACCTTGGACTGGTAGTTAAAAGTTTGGGACTTTCGTCCTTTCAAACTTATTCTAGGATTCTAGTCAGATATTTCATTGCTAGTACAAACGATAATGGAGATATTAGGTCACCCTGCCTCACCCCCCTTTTTGTTTCAAATGGCACAGTAGGACTACCATTAACAGTGATGGAGTATGACACAGTTCTGATGCACTCCATAATCCATCCTATGAATATTTTAGGAAAACATAGTCCAGTTAATACTGCTCCAGAAAACACCCATTCAAGTGAGTCATATGCCTTTTGCATGTCAATCTTGAATCATGCATCTAGGTGAGGCCCTTTCCTACATAACCCTTTATTAACTTATGACTGAGTAGAACATTGTCTATCAAGCCTCTACCTGGGAAAAACGCTGCCTGGCTCTCATCCACCAGTGTACTCATCACTTGTCTCAATCTGTTAGTCAGCATTTTAGATATGATCTTATATATTGTGGTGCAGCATGAGATTGATCTATACTCTCTGATTGAGGTTGGGTTCTTTACTTTAGGAATAAGAGTAACTGTTGTGTTGTTGGTTGGCCTGAACATTCTCCCAGTAGTAAAAGTTCTACCACTGCATTTACAATGTCATCTCCAGTAATGTTCCATGCTTTCTTAAAGAAACATGCATTAAACCCATCTCCTCCAGGTGCTTTCATGTCATCTATTCCCTTTAGTGCATCAACTACATCTTCTTTTATGAAAGGGGCTATAAGTTGCAGCTGCTGTCTTCTAGTGAGTACTGCTCCATTCCTTATCCAGCCAATATGAATAGCTGGTATACTACCATTAGCAGTTCCTAATAAATGCTTATAAAACCCAACCACTTCAGCTTCAATGCTCTTACCATCTGTCAAGACATCTCCATTGGTATTAATGAGCTTTGTAATTTGATTATGTGTTTTCCTTCCTTTCATACTAGCAAAGAAGTAGGCACTGTTAGTATCTCCCAGCTGTAACCACTGAATTCTTGATTTCTGCTTGTATATGGACTCCTCAATCTTATCCCACTTCTCTAGTTGTAATAGCAATTCCTTCTCTTCCTCAAACAGCTCATTTGGTGCATTAGCAGTCTTCATTCTTCCTTGTATACCATCCAACTCTTTTCTGATAATACTTATCTTCTTTGTGACATTCATGAACTCCTTTGTGTTTAACTGTTTCAAAGCTGCTCTTACAGTTTTCAAGTTCTTCCATATAGCTTCCATACCCCCATCCTTCAATTTCCAGTTGGTTTCCACAATCTTCCCAAAGTCAGGGTGATCAGCCATACAATTATAAAATTTAAAGGACCTTTTCTTGTTATCACAACTTACCTCTATCTCAATCCCCAGTAGAGAGTGATCTGAGAACAGAGGATTCATTATTTGAACTTGTCTAGGAGGCANATTAATCATTCAGCTATCATTAACAATTGCTCTATCAATTCTACTATACACATGGCCATTTGTCCATGTATATGTCTTGCCCACTGTAGGTATCTCTGCCAGATTACAATCTTCTATTACTTCTTTGAAATCCTTTGTTTCATTATCATGTACTTCACTACCATGCATTCTGTCATCAGCCCCCAGTATTGAATTAAAATCTCCCATTAACAACCAAGGTCCCATGCTTTGCCTTGCTATGCTTCTAATTATTTCCCATAATGATTTCCTATCCTGCACACTATGTAACCCATATATTGCTGAAAAATAGAACTCCTTATTATTCCTCAGAACTTTCACAGTACCATGTATAACCTGGGAATATGTCTCCAGCACTGTATAGTTCAGTACATTTGGATTCCATATTACCCAAATTCATCCTTTACAGGAACTTGACACATTGTGAAACCATTTCCATCCTGGCAGTAGCTTTTTTAATGATCTTCTCTGCTTTTGTATCTTTAACTCTATGCTCACATATTGCTATCATATTTACCTTATACTTCTTCATAAACACCTTTAACTCCTTGTGCTTAAACACTTTATTGAAAACCCCTTACATTCCATGTGACTATCATGTTAATATTGCTAAAATGTTCTGTT